CCCGTGGTCACGAAGTTCATTTTTTCACATCTCACCATGATAAGTCTCACTGCTTCGAGGAGACTAAGAACGGTTCACTTCAAGTCACTGCAGTTGGAGACTGGCTCCCTAGACACTGCTTTGGATATTTTTACGCTTTCTGGGCGTATGTAAGAATGATTTATGTCTCTATTTATCTGGTGTTCTTCTCATCATGGCGGATGGATGTTGTGTTTTGTGATCAGGTGTCTGTCTGTATCCCCTTTCTAAAGCTCAGCAAAGCACGGATCGTGTTTTATTGTCATTTTCCTGATTTGCTCCTAACTCAACGAAAAAGCTTCCTTAAAAAGCTCTATCGTGCTCCATTAGACTGGTTGGAGGAACTCACAACTGGTAAGCTGAAATGTGATCTTCACGTGTGAAGGATAATAAAGAAGCCTTTGTCCTGGTGTTTAGTTTTGAGGGTTAGGGGGTGCTAGTACAGATTCAAACTGACAGGGGTGACCAGAGGTTTTATTTTTGTATCATTCATGTATTCTTGTACTTATTTAACTATTTGGCTATTTATATTATATGTAATTTATATTATATGTAATGGTTCTTTTAATTCTTCCTTATAATTTTTCTTTGGGATGGGAATGGGAGCCTGATTTTAAGACACTATTTTGGGGAATGGATAAACTTCAAGGTAAATTTTCATTGTAGTGCTTGTGAACGTAAATATACCTTGTTCAGAGGATTTTGGGAAGTTTGATTTTTATCCCAAAGCAAGTATGACCATCAGTCTGAGTACAGATTACTTCCTGCCTCATACTTAGCCGTTTACACCCAAACATCAGTATACATATTCTCTATACTTTCTTTCTACATTTCCTTAGGTATTGAAAAGGAGAATTAGTGCGACAAACAGGAGCTTCTTGAATTTTTTATTTAAAAAATAACTCTATGTTAGTGTGTAGAGTATATCACAGCATTTGGATATCTTGCACCAATCACAGTGTATGTGTAAATGAATGTTTGAGTATCTTGTAAATGATGTCATGGAATCAGGGGGACATGCACAAAGATTAATGTTCACCAGAAATTTTGGACTCATTTGATAAGTGTAATGGTTTGTTACCTTTGCAAGAGCCTAGTTGATTAAGATTTCGATTTATCAGGATATAAAAGGTTTGCATTCAACTTTTTGTATCATTTTCATTATCACCAGGCTTCAGGTACCAAGGGTGATAATGTAAGGAAATCTATAAGGCAGTAACTCAAAGGGAATGAAGGGTTGATGGGACATTGATCTTTTTTTCTCAGGGGACAAGGAAGAATGGGTGTGACTTTTGATTAAATAATATCCATCAGATTATTATACAATTCTCATGTAACTAATGGTTGAGAAACATGTAAGAATTATGTCAAGTTTCATGTAAACCTTTCACACCTAAGATCTCACTGGTATTTCTCTTTACAGTCTGCCTTACAGTTCTTGTGATGTTACTTCAGATAATTTGATATTGGATATTTTCTTTATTCTATCACTTGTCTGCTTGATATTGTATTGACTTGTAAGGAAAAATTCTGTCTTGGTCAATTATGGAAGGAAGAGGGTTAAAATATGGAAAATAGGCTGCTTATGGTTAGTGTGCATCATGTCATGTACATGCAGTGGCAGTGTCAGCAAATATGATCATTCTTTTTCCATTTCAGGCATGGCAGATAGTGTTCTTGTAAACAGCAATTTTACTGCTGAAACATTTTTGTCAACATTTACAAGTCTGTGCAGTAACCGTCCACGTGTCTTGTATCCTTCATTGAATTTTTCTTCATTTGATAAACCAGTTGTAAAGGAGGAAATTGAAGACCTCATACCACCTACTGCCAAGTGTGTTTTCTTGTCTATAAATCGGTATGAAAGAAAGAAAAATTTGAACCTTGCCTTGGAGGCATTAGATTGGCTCAGGAATATTATCAGTGACAAGGAATGGAAGGATGTTCATCTAGTTATGGCAGGTAAACAATAAGGTACCTTTTATTTATCAAGTTTGAGGTCCTTAGCTTACATTACATGTACAGCTTACATTACATGTACCTCTTACTTACCAAGTTCGAGGTCCATTCTTTGAGTTACACTCCAAAATTTTTGGATTTATGGCCCAAGGGCAAAGTGTATGGGTAATAAATCCATGCAAAAATAACTATTTTCTGTAATTTACAGTACAGAACAAAAAAACAAGGTTAGTAAGGTATTTATTATATCTCTGGGTTCAAAAAGAAGGGGAACATTTCAGTTCAAACAATTATTTCATACATACTGAGATTTTCACTGTGAAGTACTATTGTCCATGTCTCTGATTGGACAAATGATGTATTTTCAGTCATTTGCTTCCAATCTTAGTATTGAAATGTGAAAAAATGTCAGTATGTATTAAACAAAACATAATACCATGGAAAGTGCTTGAATGATTTTCATTCACTAGTTGTGATGCATCAAAAATTCACTTGTTTGCTGCACTTACTCGTTTGTACATTTGATGCATTACAACTTGTGAATAAAAGTGGTTTGTGCCCACTTTCCATGGAACAGTCTCTATTTATACAATATTTCTTTGTTGTTCTTACAGGAGGATATGATGACAGAGTAACAGAAAACAAAGAGCACCATTTGGAACTTTGCAAACTTGCTGAACAATACAACCTGAACAGTAAAGTCACATTTGTGAGATCATTCAGTGATGCTCAAAAGCTAAGTCTTCTTAATCAATGTTCTTGCTTAATCTATACTCCAAGTCATGAACACTTTGGGATTGTTCCAATTGAGGCCATGTATATGAAGCGTCCAGTAATCGCAGTTAACAGTGGAGGGCCGTTGGAAACTGTTCAAAATGGCGTGACTGGATTTTTATGCAATCCTGATGCCGAATCATTTGCTTTAGCAATGAAGGAGTTTTTGAAGAATCCCTCACTTAGTTCAACAATGGGTGAAGCTGGCAAAGAGAATGTGATCAAGAAGTTCTCTTTTGATGTATTTGCTCAACATCTTCACAGTATTGTATGTTGTTTGTACTTGCTAGAGTTTGATGCCTATCAATTAGACTAGTACACCTTATAGACTGAGTAGCATTTACAGAACACTCAACTCTTGTTATAGCAGCACTTTGTTTTTCAAACATTAAAATTTTTTGGGGGTATTTTTTGACAGGTGTTTTAGTTCTGTTCATAAACGTCATGTCTCAAAGTCAAGAGGTGACTTTTCTAGCCATCACCTGTACTGTATAAAATTCATAGGTTGTCAGGGAGAGAAATTATATATATATTTTTGACGATCCCAAATTTATTATCAAGAGTCAGCTCATTTGCTTAGGCCTCATTTCATGTAATGATTTGTAGATTGTATCTACTTTGGGGGCTTACTGATATTTCATATGTGTTTTATAAATTATATAATTTATTTTTTTCCCTTAACCCTGCCCAGATCATTAGCCCTTCACCAAAAATTATTCTGCATATAAACTCACACTCAACCCACAATTCCTCTATGTGCCCTTACAAAGGACTAATACTCAAAATGTCAGCTTTGAAATTCTGGCCAATTTACAGTATCAACTCAGTTGATAAAACCAAATTACCAAGATTAGAGATAATGTTTACAACTTTTGCAATGGCAGGTTTATACCAGAGACCTTCAAACTTCACTTTTTAGTTGCATTCATATTCATAAAAAATCAATTTTAATATATTTCTTTAGAATGTTTAGTATTAAAAACTATTTTAGTTCAGCATGGATGATGATGACAATTAGAAATTCTAGCATGCTTACAATTGTAGCTCACTTCAACAAACTTTGCCTTGCACACAGTCTCACTGTTTGACTGTCAAATAAATCACAGTATTAATCAGACAATATTGCCATTGTGTGGTTTATTGACAGGTAACAGATGGAGCCCAGACAGGGAGGGTGTGGTCGACAGCTTTGACATGTTTTCTCATGGTTGTAGTGTTCTGTGTGGCCTGTGTGTGGGTTGTCAATTTCCATAACGGTCACTGACAAGAAGTTCATTACATAAGATAAAGTATTATTAATCCACGGTAAAAAGTCACTGATGAGAAGGTTGTTACTTTTCAACATACATGTAAAGCATATTTAATGTGCTATAAAATCAGTTAAATAATTATGTAATGATTTAAGTAGGTGACAAGTGAATCATTGAAGAAAATACCTTTGCAAGCTTATCCAGGCTGTGTTGAGAATGACTATATTCAGATTGAGGGCATCTTAGAGGTTCGCCATGACTGTGTTTTGCCTCTATAGGTGTTCATAGAGGCAAAATTGCAAATAAAAAAATAAATTTTTGCAAATAAAAGATGTATCATGCTACAAGCTGGAACTGTTTCAGATGCTATAGTTAAATGAAAAAGGTTTGGTCACTGAATTTGCAGCCTTCTTTATTTTATTCAAGTAAGCACTGTGGGTGCTTGTGAAATCAAATCATCACCATTTTCAGCAAGTAGTAAGTTGATTTTGTGACAAAACATGAATTTAGAGATTGTAAGGCGGTAGGGTACTTATTTTAGGTGGGGTGCTTTTAAACTTTTCTTATGCTACAGGGTGAGTGCTCTTTCAAGGTTGGGTGTTTAATCAAATGAAAATTCTGTGTCACTATATTTGGTGACCTATCAGAGTGCAGTATATAGAGTTGGAATTCTTTACTTAGAATTGAATGGGAGACCTTTGGATTTCAGTGTTATTCAGATTATTAAACAGTGTTAGAAAAAATTATAGTGGGTAAGTTTCTAAAGAAACTGTGGTGCTGTGTTGGTGAGGGTTGAGACAAAAAAAGTTGGTGTTATCAACTGAATTGATAATGGTAATTAGTCATTATAAAGAGTTTCTTAAGCTCAAAAGAAGGGTTAGAAACTGTTTACAAGGGCTAATTTGCATTATCAATTCAGGTGAAAAACAAAAACAAATTAGCTTCAAAAACAATAATTTTATTATGCTTTAGCTTTATATATCACCACAGGGTATCTTTGTTATCTTCTGTTTGCTGATCTTTAAGCAATAACTTATATGTAGGAGTCTTTGCCAGAATAAAAAAATATGTAATAAATAGAACAAGTTAAAATAGTTTAAATTAATTAAAAATATTTTCATTATGCAGGTATTTATGAAAAATCTTTTTTACAATCCTCGACAAGCAGTGTTTGGAGCAAAGAAATATACAGTGTAATTAATTACATAACTAATAGGGTGTGTCTCTTAACTAATAGGGTGTGTCTCAACTTCCTTTTTCCTTTCTCCCTTCTTACCACAGGTCTTGTACTGACTGTTGGTATATGAATACTTCACTTAGCAAGGGTAAATATTTTCTTTGTCTTCATTCTGAAAGTTTAAGCGATCAGTGTTGGCTTTCTTGACTTTTGTATCCCGCTGCAGCCTTGCATAGTAACGCAAGACATCAGGGTGAGCGCGTACACACTTGCTATCAAAGTCCAAAACTCGGAGGCCTTGAAGACTGCGGGCTCTTGAAAGTGCAACATAAGCTTGGCCATATTCAAAGACTCTTGACAGAGAGATTTCAACACAATCCAGTGTCATACCCTGGAAGAAAAATTAAAATTGGTAGAGAACACTACAACAGCAAAGTGCAGTTACCTAATTTAGTTGATAAGCAAAATTGTCACAGAAATGGCTTGACCTCAACAGATTAGGTTCTTTTCCTGTTCCCCAGTGCAGAACCAACATCAGGCTTTTTCCATTTCAGTATCTATATCTGATATATCTCAAATTTCAGCAAGTGTGACAAATTTTAAAAACAAAAACTTTAAACTTTTTAATTATAATACCTCATTTTTAGAGGCTACTTTCCATTGATTCCTTTGTTTCTTCCTTTTATTGTTTTGCTTGGGTGCATTTTTATCATTGGATGGCTCATTATTTTCATTAATTAATAACACTTTTGCAAATTGAAACTTGCTGCTTTTTTCAATTACCTGTGTAATATAATACTAGTAAAAGAAACCTATACTTTGAAAAACCCACGATTTATTTGAGCTTCCTCACCATTTCTCTCTAACCTAACTTGGATGAAATTATTTTAATTAGTAGTTCTGTGGTGGCATGTACAGGAAAAAAAAGTGCTTTAAAACCACTGAGTCCTAAAGCAATGCACACTGTTGGAAGAAATCTCTTATCAGCAGCCTTGCCTCAATTAAATGTAAAACCCTTTTTTCATCCACCACACTATTATTACAAGTTACCATTGCAATCTTTTTTTTAGCTTCTGTTACCTGGCTTTTGTGTATGGACACTGCCCATGCTAATTTAAGTGGCAGCTGTCGCCGAGTGACTGTTCCTCCACCAGGTGTTGATACAACCCACTTTTCAGAACCAATGATCTCTTCAATCCCAGAAACAAACTTGACAATAGGGTAACCTGAAGGAAATTGTGTCATTCAGCGATATAAAATCCTTCTAATGAGCCTATAATTTTTCAAAAGTTTGTATCACTTGAATTATAGTCCCAATCTTATTATGACTGGTCAAAAAATTATGAGGAGGTAACATTTTTATTCAGTAAACATTGTGACAGCCTTTTTGAATAGTTACCAGTGACAAAAAATAGCTGTCAAGTGTTGATCAAAGGAGAATTTCTTGAACACATTTCTCAGGAATCTCGCAATTGTGACTGCAAACTTATTTTCCTGCATATCAAATACATGAAATTTTCTGATAATACTGTTAGTGTGAATTTGGAAGCGATCTTTGCAGTACTGTTATGAACTCTACTTTAAAAGCAGTGAAAATAAGGCCCGAAAGAAAAATTGGGGATTAGACCCAATGACCTCTGGATACCAATGCAGTGCTCTACTAACTGAGCTAGCAAGCCAACTCAGAGAGTTGGTCATCATGTTGGTTCATAATACTGTTAGTGTATAATTAACAGACCAGCAGATCCCTCATCAAATCCTTTGATTATTCCACGAGCACCATTGACAAGTCCTTTCAAGACATTCAAGTTCTTAGCCAGCATCACCTAATAAAGGGGAAAAAGCATTTTGGGTAAATCACTCAACATTTATCATTAACATTTACTAATAACAGGAGTTATCAATACCCAAAAGCGATCCACAACTGAAGTGACCAGATTGCAAGACAAAGATTACATTTCTCTTTTGAAGTGATGAATACATTACTACAATCTATTTTACGATGAGTTATCAAAGTCTGATGACCCATCATTGTTATGGTCATAAATAATTTATTTATTAAGAAATATCAATATAACTATATATTACATTTTACATTCTGTAAATGTGTAAAGCAAAGCTGTACTATGTAAGAAGTTGTTACCTGTGCTCCTACTTTTAACTCCAAAACATAAGACACAGGAACATGACTGTCAAGCATTGCGCTCATTCCACTGTCACTGTCAGTTGCTTCAAATACCTTCTTTTCACCAGGTAGTCTTGTCAAATGTATGTCGTTTATCTGATTGACGTTTTCCTTGTGGGTGCAAAGCTTGGTAGCAAGTATTCCTCCTTGTTCTATTAGTTGATTCTTAGTTGCAGTTAACTTGGATACAAGAGCATCTGAACAACTGGATACAACAGAATATTATTTACACAATAAGTAAAGGTAAGGGGACTGAGTGGAGTCCCATTTGGTCTGTAATAATACAAGTGATAACAAAATCAGAAGACTGCCCAGTGGGAGTCTGATTTGTTTACCAATAGTATAGTCACAAACCAAATTAATTGACATAAAGTCTTATTACCAATTAATCATAAAAGTTATAATTTCTGAGAAAAGAAGAACAGCCAAGCTATGAAAGAAAGGAAAAATTTGCATTCTAAGACAGACAAAGGAGTAACAAGGCTGTGATTGGTTGATTTAAACCACAACTTTGAATGTGATTGGCTTATTGAACTGTTTGATAACAAACTGTCCGATAACAAACTGTCCGATAACAGACTGTCCAATAACAACTTGGCAAGTGAATTAGTCGAAAATAGGAGTTTTTTAAAACCATCTACAATTGAGGAAATTGAGATTTTTATGATAAGCTGAATTATACATGCAGTTTGATTGGTTCTTACTTAGGATCTGCTGGAGGACAGTCACATAGATGACCTCACCATTAGCAACATTTTGCCTCTTTATTGTATAAAGCAAATAGATTCTATGTTGCAGTGGGTGGTAACAGTGATAGATCACAGAATATGTCAAAATGTAGTAAGAACATCAGAGACATACTCGGCTGTGGCTTGTGTGACACTTTTTTGTCCTTACCACATTTTGATGTCATCTGGGATCTTTTACTGAACAGATTCTCAGCAACATGGAATCTAGTTGTTCAACAGAAATGATAATGGTGGCTTGTTGTGACAGCTGCACTGTATCTTGAAAGACCACATTGACTCATATTGACATAATTCATATAAATTGTTCATTATGAATTAACATAAACTGCTTGCAAAAATTAAGATTTTTACCTTCCAACTCGCACATTCTGAAGAATCGAGATAAAGAGTGGATCTTTTTGTCTAAAGACATGTTTAAGCTCAATGGTTGTTTCAACACATTCACTCCAACTTTCTGCCTGAAATAATTGTAACAAAAAGTCAAAGGTTGCATAAAATCTCATGACAGTGGCTTGTATAAAATCTGATTGCCCAGTCTTTGGATGAAATGTCAATGGATCATAATTTTTTACCTGAAAGCAAAACTTTTTGGGTCCTTGTTGTTTTGTTACAGGAGGAAGCTGTAAGAAATCTCCTGATAAAATCAGCTGAATTCCACCAAATGGGATATTTTCTTTTTTTCTCACAGCACGGGCAACTGCTTCAAGTTTATCAAAATAGGTGGACTCAACCATTGAGATTTCATCAATAATCAAATGTTTACAACGTCTCCACTGTTGGGCTTGCCCAGGCCGTGATGCCAGATCCACACACTGAGCAAGAGGTGCACTTCCACTGCCAATACCTGTCATGCACAAGACCATGAAAACTAATCAAATTTTGAAAACCCATCAACAGAAATTAAAGTGGCTGCATGACATTCCTCTTGAAAGCCTTACCTCATAGGTTGTTCCAACCTACGAGAAGGTTTCTCACCGTTATATTTAGGACCTTGACAAAATGTGAGTGACATTTTTTTTTTCTCAAAAAAAAAAATCACAATATCACAAATCATATCCTATAGAGTCTATGTGACAGCTCTTCCCAGAGACTTCAGGATGGTGGCCTGTGATGGGTGAGGTCTTCCGTGGAGAAAGGGGCCAGAGGTTAGACGTACACAATTCTGCCTGGCATCATGTCTCCCAGACACTCACCCTAGTCTGAAAACAACTCTTCTCCTCAATGTTCTGCAAGCCGAGTCTTTCATTTCCATTACCCTGCCAGCAGAGTCTCCTTCAAGTAGAGAAAAGTGGGTGGAGTGTGAGTTCACTTATTTCTGGTAAGGAAGGAAGGAAGGCGAATCTGCTGGCAAAGTAACCCCCTTTACACCCCCTCAACATTCTTTTCTGCATGTCAGTGGTTGTTCGTTGAACTTGGGGGCCTCACTCTAAGAGCTCCGCGCGGCGCACTAACATCAATTTTTTTCCACTGAGTTTTTATGACACGCGCGACAGACCTAACCGAAAAGGAGGGCCTGCTCGAAGACTAATGAATTCTTTACTTCGTCAACGTTTCATCCCTTCCTTTCTCCCCAGAGCCATTAATCGACCAATTTCACTGCTGCCATCAATTATATGTCTAGCGCAAATGTATGAGTACTACAATAAAAAGGAAAACGCTCCTCAGCACTCTTGCAAAGGAAACACACCTGCAAATGCATGAAGCGTAGTCCCACCAATATGACAAGCTGCTGCTCCAGTACTAGCAGTTATAAAGGTACTCTGAGGTGGTAACAGTGTTATCAAACGTTTCAAGAGATATGACTTGCCAGTTCCGGCACCACCAGTAAAAAACACACTCTTTCCAGCTCTTATGGCGTTCACCACTGCCATTTGCTCAGGTATAAGATTCATTTGAAAAGAACTCAAAGAGCTGAGACGTTTTCTTGCCGCTCCGTTGTGTTCTTCGTTTCCAAA